TAGACAGTATAAAATATAAATGTACCTACATGGCTATACTCTATAATATATAGTATAATATACAATAAGATGGCTATATATTTATATATTGGAAGTTTAGCAAATTATCGGTGATTTCCCGATCAATTAAGATAACGATTGAGATATATGTACTTTTATCGGTGTATGGTACATCGTCTATATCGTATGTACGAATGACAATAATGTTGGTGAGCAGTGAGCACTGTACAGCCTCGAATAACACGTCATCGTGTAAATTTTCAATTTATATTTCGTATTTGAATTTATATTTTTTAATTTTAATTTTTCGTAATTATGGAGTTTATGTTTAGTGAAAAGGGAACTAAGTTGTTGATTATTGACAATTACAAGTTGGAATTTTTATGGAGACTTTAAACAGTATTCAGACATTAAATTATATTAAATTTCGAAGTAATAATACTAGAAAACTTACTAGCAAACAAGAAAAAAATAACAAATTCTTGGAAAATTGTATGACTGAGTACACCAATGGGAATTGAATATTTAAAGAAAGTTTGCTTCAAATTTGCAAATCAGCGTTTTTAAACATTTGTATTTATTATATTTTATTATTTGTATTTTTTACCTACACCTAGTGATAATTGACTTCCGAATCAACGATTGAAAATTGTATATATTATATCATTTTTTTTATAACACACATTGACGCACATTTTTAACCAAGCCTACTTTTAAGTTGACAGTCCTAAGCCTGTAAAATTGAGAAGGAAAATGTGCGTAATTAAACGGGAACCAATTCGGCCGAACCCAACAAAATACCTTTTTCAAACGGGAACCAATTCGGTACACCCCAAAAAAACACCTTTTCCAAACGGGAACCAATTCGGCATGTGGGGTTGGAGCTCGGGAACCAATTCGGTACCAGCCAATATTTAGTATGTAATACAATTGAAAACTAGCCAACAATGAATAATAGAAATATATACCTAAGAATTCTATGGCAGCATTGATTTTTAATTATATAATTTATTTATTTTCTATTACTGATGTTTCGCAAAACATCAATGTATAGTGTATTAAATAATTAGTGAGAATTAGTGGAGGACATAAGCTTTATCTTTATAATTAATAATTATATATTTTCCGTATACCAGATATGAGCTTAGCTCGGATGGTATACGTATCAGCTCTTAATATTATTATAGTTATTATTGTATTATAATTGAATTAAGTTGAAATAAATAAATACATATTTATATATTCCAGGATCGTCCGTGTGCATTTTTTTTTAGCAAGTCATCCTAGAAAATCTTATATAGCATAGGTGTATCTCGGTTTGAGTGTATGTCAGTTTTAGTGTACCTCAGTCCACGGACAAATAGGAGTCAGAGTACCTATAGCTTTGTGTAATAATTTTACATTGATGGACAACCGCAAGTCGTGGATTTGATTTAGCACTTGGTATATTATTTAACGTACCTAGATTAAATTATTTACTCTAAACTTTTCAAACATCTCTAAAAAAATCTCTGTGGTTTTCGTAAAATTTCAATTGAGTAGTTGTTGAATATATAAGTTTCACATATACATTGATTTTAGGATATACCTACTTATAGTTTCTTTATTCGATGCCATAAGTGAGTCAATTTAAAGCATGCTTGTACATGATTATCCAGTAACCCTAACCTAAGACAAAAAAAAAAATAATAATAATTCTAATTTCTACTAATACTATTATAATCTTCTACCAATGGCAACCATTTATGAACAAAAAAAATTTCCATATTCACCCCGAATCTCATGACCACCTCTTTAAAATGCGAATATCGGAAAATCCTTTCTTATTTCACATCTAGATCATTAAAGGAACCACTATCCCAATTTCTTACGTTTTGTAGTTTTTGAGATGTAGCGATGAATAAGTGAGTGGTATTTGGTATGTGAAAGACGTATCTAACTGTTTAAAAATAATATATTTTGTTAATTACTTCATACTTGTAAGCATATTATGTTATAGTACATAAATAAACGTAATAATAGGTATTTAACGAAATAGTTAAATAAAATATCTTCCTGCACAGTACTACAACTGTAGGTATTAAATGAAAGAAACAGCAATGATCTGTAAAATAAATTGGTAAAATAGTCATTTTCACTTGAACATGACGAAATAATATAATATCAACATTTTCTTCCTTCATAAAATTATTTATTTTTTTGTGACTTTCAAATTCAAAGAATATAGATGGAATATTGCATCCATTTATCACTGTGCAGACATACAATATTGTTTTACCTACCTATAGTCTATATTCTGTTCAGCGAGAGAACACGCCTAGACCGACGAAAGTCTGTTCTTTCGCGACATCCTGTCTTAGATGAACCGGTTTCGATGGTTGCGTGACGTGGGGGACTCGCAGAATCGGTGTGTTCTCTCGTCGAACAGAGTAAACTTACATTTTTTGTCATCTGTAGTTATATTTGTAAGGCCGACGCATTAGGTCAGGCCATGGCCTGTCCGGTTAGACCCGTAGTTAAGGTTAATTAATTATAATAGATATAGAGAGTTCTGGGCATTAACGATAAACAAGTTTAAGTTAAGTTGCTTTTAACTAAGTATTACCTACATAAAGATAATATGTATATTTAAATATAAAAATAAAATGGTGATCGCGTGACGTAAGCATAGCATGCTACTCGATATTTTCCACTTCGAAGAAAATGTATGAATATGCACCTACTAATAAGGGACCATTAATCGTATATTATATAGATACCTACCTAGTTGGAATTAGGTAATTTTTACAATTAATAGTTTCTATAGTGATAAACAAAGAGTTAGAATAAATCAGTTAGAAAAATAAAATATTTGTACCCAGCCCAAAAACATATTTATATTAAAAAAAACCATAGAATTCTCTATTCGATATTGCGATGAATCATAAATATTATGTATTTGTTTATAAGTAACCATGACAACAAAAACCTTACAAAAAATCGGTCAAAAACAAAAACTCGAATCCAGCCTAAAAGTATATTTATATTAAAACTTAACTTGTAACTAATTAAACGGGTTACATTAATATAGATATGTTTTTGGGCTTGGTACATATTTTTTGCAATTGTTTGTTGCCATAAAATCGTAATTCATTAAATTCCTAATAAAATGTAGCATGCTACTAAAAAAATTCCCACTGCAGCACTGTACCCAAAAACATATCTATGATTCCTAAACTTTCCTTGCAGAGGAAATATATCTAGTAACATTCTACTTAATGTAATATATTCAAATGACCTTTTCTTTCACGATAATACCTATAATATTACCACAGTTATCTACACAGGTCGGCGTACGACTATATCACATTATGTATACAATATTGAACTAATAGCGCTTTAAAGTTTATACATTGTTCCAAATAAGAAGACACCAGATTTACGTAGCAAAACTGGTTTTTCCCGTGGCTCCTTATTTGGAACAGGCTACAGATATCATCGGTCCGACTTGAACACCCTAAATAATATGGAAAACTATAGTTTTTCATTTATCGTGCATAAACGATTGCATTAAAAATAAGATTGGACATACATTAATTTTTTTATTTTCATTAAGTTAAGGCTTCAACATCTGAGGTCAATAGCCTCTGTTATTTAGTAGGTCTTATTACTGTGGGGGATGGTACAATCGGTCTAAAACACGTGTATGTGTGGTAAAGATTAGCCACCCGGATGGTCATCCATACGGGAAGCGTATTAACATTCCCTACTTGAACTAGTGCAGGGAACTATAGTGGCACCGGATAGTTTCAACAATATTATTGAATATCAAATATAATCTTTAAAATTACCAGTGGTTCTTTTCTACGAGAAAATTATTGAATAAATACACGAATAAAATAATATTGTTTCATTGAAAATAACACTTAATTTTAACAACAAAAAATACCAAAATAATTCCATTTTGTCACTTCTAACTTTAAACTTAACCGACACTTTTTTACAATAACTTGTTCAGCCTTGGATATATAATAATTAGTATAGAGCAGTATAAATATGCAACGATCTTTTTTAACTATGCAATTATTAGTACCTACCTGCAGATATTACAAACATGCGGTCGTACCATGAAAAACCCGAACTAATATTGGCAGTATTACTTTAAAAATCAAATACTCATCTTGTAATGATCACTATTCATGGTCTTATTTTTAATGATTCATATTGAGTATTAAGTAATAAAAAAATCATAGGTCAAAGAATTAATTGGATGGATTTTTCGATATTTTTTAATGTTATTGTAATAATATGTGCCTAAAGTATACCTAATTCAATATTATATAGACATATTATTATATAGGTAGTTATATTATGTTATTTATGAAGATTGTGTTTTTCCATTTGGACTATTCTTCAATTCAATTATCCATCCTATTACATTATAATACTCGGTTATATTGTTTATTTCATATTTATGTGTAACAAATGTTATAAACAATAAAAAAAATAAAAATTGTTTTATAAATTATCCATTTTATCTATCTGCAGTTATATAAACATTTAAAAACTTTTATTGTATTATTCATATTGGAATTATTGTTGATTGAATCTACAGAATTTTTTCTGGTCCAAATTGCTAAAATAAGGGTATGACTATTAAATAATATTGGATCCATGCCCTAAACTGTTCGAAAGTGTATTTTTATAATATTTTATTAATGCTTGTTTATTTTATTCATATACCATTTAATTTTTTAGTCGTTCTATTATTATTGTTATTACTATTACTATTATTATTCTATTATTATTATTAGTTTGGTTGTAAGGTGTATGCGTGTGCGTGGGACAAGGATTCTAGCGTGAACGCGCCCTTCTTAAAACCCAGAAAAGCTTCATTGGCATGACAGTGTAATCGCCTATTCCGCACACAAACAGTTCAGCTATCCAACAGACACGATTCGTTAGAAGCTACTTCAAATATCTTTTTTTTCTCTTCGTTTTCATAAAACCAAACAAATAAAATGCCTAGTGGACGTCCTTTGTGGCAGGTAAAGTAAAATATTTAATGATTTACCCAACAATAATAAATATATAATTTTTATAATATTAACGAACTTTAAGTTTATTAACAATATTTTATATGATCAAAATGATTTAATATTATTGCACATATGATTTAAATCGCGGAATAGTTATTTGAATGACATAATTTATTAATTTACTAGTAGGTAGGTAGGTAGTTGATAAGAGTTTTAATTATAATAATTTAAGAAATATTCATTTAATTCAGTTTAATTTAGAAATCATATTGGTTATAGATATACTGCCGTTTTTGTGATAAGTACAAATTTGTTTTGGTTGATGGCTAGAATTTTAAGATGTTTGAATTCTTTTATATTTAATGGATTTTCAAAAAAATTACTACCTATTATAACACAGTTGTATAATAGTTTATCAAAATATCGTTACAAATTATTTTATAGTTTAAAATTAAAATTAAAAGAACAGTTTTACTATTGAAATAGTTTTATTGAGTATTTAGGTTTTGGTAAAGTATGTGTTATTGTATTCATTACATCATATCATATAATAATGTTTATAATATTATATATTATAATACTAGCTGATCTTTTGCACTACGCAGCTCGTTAAAAATACCAACTCTATATGATTCAAAATGTATGTTCAATTCGTCTTTTAATACCCTGCGTACTGATGTTCAAAACTTCTCGTGACAAGTTTCCGTGGATTTATCCCATCTTAATCTCCATTAGAGATTTTTAACACAGTTATACATGTCTTAAGTTATTTTCAGTCATAATAATTATTTTATTTTTTGTAATCAATAGCAATCTTGTAATGAACGAAAATATATTATTTTTGACAATATCCTTAGCAGTTGAGGAGTATATATATATAAATAAAAAAAAATGAATAAAGAATAATATTATTATTATAACTAAAGAACTCTCAAATTTGCAATAAAAAAAATTAAAGGTCACCTATCGAGATAAAATATAGCCTATAGATCTTTGGGATAGTGTAGTTTTCTAATGATACGAACATTTTTAAAATCGGTTAAATAGTTACACAGATTACCTCGAACAAACAATTTTTCTTCTTTATATATAAATATATTAGGTTTTAGGTCTATAGATAATATATTAATATCTAATATTGGTCAATCTTAAATGTACCTACTGTATAGTAATTGATCAGCTACCTTGCTATACACTTGCTTATTAGTTTTATATTATTCTAATACGATTTTTATAATATTTGTGGAATAATGCTGATTATATTAATGTTATTAAAAAGTGAATTAAAATATATAGGTACTTATAGGTATAATCGTATAAATTATGTATATCTTTAGGATCAGTAATAATTCAGAAGTACATAACTAGGCAGGTATTCATAAAATTACTACTATTGTGTTATTCACGCATTTATCCAAATTTCTCTAAAATATTTTAAAATAATAAAGTTTGTAATACTGATATTTAATAAAATGTGATACAACTGAATTCGTATTGGACTAGCATTACTGAACAAATTAGTTTCAAGAGATAAAGTAGGGCAGTATTTCTAATTGTTGGAGATGTTGCAAAATATGATGGAATAGGTAGGTACATGTTCAAACATAATAATATGTTATTAAGTAGGTATTCAGTATTTATTATTATAATCAATGGCTTTTATAATAACTAATAAAGAAATAATTAATAAGTTCGTTTTAATTATTGTTAGTTTAAACTTAAATCCTACTATAGTAGTTAGGTTAGTATGTTGTTCGGTTAATGATTATCATATACATAATATATGTGTATTCATTTCCAATTTTAACTAAACAACTATTATTCATTTTTATATTTCTCAAGGAACACATTAAGATTAAAATTAAAAAAGTTAAACATATCAACCTATTTAATATATTTAAAAGACACATTTTAAATAAATCATTTTTAAGTTTTTAAAAATTAATTTAGTTGTTTGAATAACTGATTATACAATTTTATAACAATAATATTGATTACCTACCTTTACAATGGAATTGTTATGAACTTTAATAAATTCTAATTTATTATTAAAATATATAAAAGCTCGATCAATCATAATAATATTTAAGCCATACAAATGGTTTAATTGGCAGCTAAAATGTATTGAATACTTGCCTCTTATTTAGGTGGGATTAATCTTTATTCTATATCATATTTTAATTTTGACAAATGTATTTATAGTTTAAAGTTTTACTTTTTTTAATTCAAGGTCACGTTCACTAGACTACTTTATCATACTCATCACGTCTAATAAAGTGTCTAAGGAACACCATAACATCATGAAAATATCTTTTCATAGTCATCGGTAGAGGGGAGTGCCAGTCGGTTAGTCTGTTGTAGTCGACTTGTCATTAACGATCTAAATATAAAAATCAAGTATAATCCTCATTTTAATTCAGTTCAAGGTGTTGATAAATCAACCGAAGGATAATTTAAGGATTTTTGTTTTGTTGTTATCTCAAAGTATATGTTTCCAGCTGTAGTGATAATAAGTGTTTACGAACATTCCCAATTTACATTTTACTTGATATTATGCACAGTCATAGAACAATACAGCGTGGGATAAGTGATAACTGTATTATAGTTAGTTTCTTAATTTTCATTACACTTGTTGTTTATAAATAATACATTTTTAATCCAAGTACACATTGTATGCGTGGTGTAACCTGAGGAAATGCAATACAGGCCAGTCGTTGATTTATGCCACTCCCTGTTGTATATAAAGATACAAATGTGTGCGAGTGTGCCAATTGAGTGTGCGTATTCAATGCATTTTTCTTTCGATATTATCGGATTTTATTTATATGAAATAAATAAACCCTCGGTTGGCAGTGAATCAAATACGTAGGTATATAATAATATTATATACGTGCCACGTCGAAGGTCCTCCACAAAGAAAAGGGGGTTCAGGTTTTATTAAACGTTTCCCTGCAAATAGAACTTGGATCTTCGTCAACTTTTGATAACCATTAAAAATATGATTTAAAAGTTTTTGATTACGTGTGACCGTTGACTATAAAAAGAATAATAACAATAAAAAATATGTTGATACGATATAAGGTTCACATTGTACCGATTTTCTACGTAAACGAGTAAGATGTAACTTAAAACGATCATTAAACCATTTTGAAACTATTTTTGTGTTGGGTACTTACCCAACTGCATAGGTGATAATATTATAAGACACACGATTGTGACATTTTCATTTTTATTTAAATACAGTTGAATGTCTGTTTAAAGATCTCATATTTAACAAATTAATCTATCTGCAATGATATTTTTCAAAAACGTTTCTATTTTGAATCATTGTTGTAAAATACTTTTTAAACTATACTCGTACATAACTATGCACAAACGCTTCAATTCAACATACAGCCTTTGTTAAATTTATTACCTTAGTTTTATACTTTTAAGCTGCAATGATAACAAAAAGTCCAATCGTCTTATCAGACAATACTTATTTATTTAATATTTGATAGACGTTGTGATGTAATTTGTAAAATATTTTGTGCATTTTTTGAAAGTTACATAAGATTTAGTATTTTAGATGATTTCTTATTTTTCTGTTTTCATTTTACACTTAAAATTACATTTGAAATACTTTTAATTTATTATTTTTTATTTGCAATTTAAAAATCTTAAGTAAGACTTAATTTTATAAATATTCATTTAGTTATTTTTATTTTAAATTATTAAATTATAAATCTCAAATAAAATAATTAAATTTAAAGTACTAAAATAGTAGATAAATATATCTTTATATTTCTAAGTTACTTTAGTTTTTAGACATTTTGTTATTGCGATGTAATAATTATATATTCACTATAATCATGAAATATAATATAATGTATTATGATATAGTAACATAACATTGGATAAGTATTACTTTATGTTTTTATATTTTGTGTTGACGTTTATTTTACGTGGGTATCTGCTATACCTACTGTTAAGGTCCGGTTGGCTATTTTCACCTTGACAAGATATTTTATTTCTCTGTACCATATACGTTCAGAAACATCAGAACCCAATATGGTAGTAAAGATAACCTCAACTATACCTACCGGTAGGTACTTGTTTTTAATTGAAACGGGATATTTATATTTTAATCCTTTCTAAATAAAACAGTATTAGGTTCACGGCCAGTTTAATACTCAACAACAACATTCGGTGCTTATAATTTTTGCATATGAGTTATGAGTTTATGACAATAAAAATAATACTAATATGTCTCTGTGTTTGGAAAATAGTTAATAGGATTGCAAACGAACAACTTTAAGGAATTCAATATGGGAACTAATTGTTGGTCTTGTAAGCCTGTTAAAGATATATGCGTAGTAATAAGTAGGTACTAATTAGTGTGTGTGACCGTAATGTAAAATAAATGGCGGAGCGCTCCATATAAATTGTATTATACAAATAATATGTTTATCGGAATGATTCTATCATAGACCATAGGTTAAATATTCAGAGTTAGGTACTGTATATTTTTCATTCTGACCATTTAAAAACTGAGTTCTTTATTATTATTTGTTGTCCTTGTGAGGATTTATCTCCCCTCCTCTATTTGTACGTCATTGCGCTAACCTAAAGTAGAAGTTCTCACCGCGTGAACGATAACGGATAAAGAATATAATATTATAATATTATATTATGCTCATTATTTGTATATTTGAAGTGTACGTACTTTTTGTCAATACTAACCAAGCGAAGGACCTAATATTTATGAATAAGACTTCTGAAAACTGATTTTAATTCGTTGATATGTCTATATTCTTGACATGGAACAGTCCAAATTTAAGGATTTTTAATTTAAATGTTGATAATCAACATTTATAATGCCATGGATTTTAAATATTCAAACCAAATTTAAAGGAGTGGGTGAATGAAATTTAATAAAATTGCCTGACTGATCTCAATTAGACATGATAAACAATTCATATCAGTTTTAAGAGGTACCCAAAATGGCATGACTGTATCTATCGGTATGGTCGAAAAAAGATATTTTGATTGAAATAAATCACTTTTTACAATCAACAATGACGAGAATGTGTACCACGAAGACTAGCCGAAATCCTATTGAACTTAGTGTGGTAATTTGATTTCAGGTTGCCGGTAAAAGAGACCTGGATCAAGAAGTCGAAGCTCAACAATGGATCGAAGCCGTGACTGGTGAAAAGTTTGCACCGGGTAAATATTATATTATATATTATTATTATATTGTGACAATATATTGATACCTTGATAAACACATACTTAACCCGGTCGTACTTGATCATTGGTTTAGGTTTGCCATTCGAGCTTGCACTCAGGGACGGAGTTTTATTATGCAAGCTGATGAACAAACTGGCACCGGGTATTATACCCAAAATTAACACTTCAGGTGGCGATTATAAGATGATGGACAACATAAGCCAGTACGTATAATAATATTATTATAAATTATTGACGCGGTGCTAAATTTTCTATTCGTCACGAAATAAATAATATTTTCTAGTAAAATTCAGCAGGGATCAACTAGAGGTTTTTATGTTTTATTTAAACCTTTAGTGTACCGACACATCTTAGAGCATAGATGTATATAATATTATAAAAATTACCTGATTGATTTCTTTACTTCTTTGAAATCGTCGAAAATGTGTGTTAATAAAAGTACAAATGCAAAATAGGTATTCAAATTACAATTAGACTGTTTTAAATTACATTTATTATATTCTTGGATAGTTATACCACTTATACCATTTGTTTAAAACTTGATTATTTGTATATATGATGAGAATTGTATACAGGGTGATTTTTTTATCGAAGAACACTCATTATTTCAAAAAGTATTAATGTTTAAGAAAATATTTTTTTACATAGTTTCAAGTTGTTAAAAAACAATATTTTTATTAAAAAATTATATTTTTAAATATTTTTTATCCTTTTAATTTTTAAGTTTTTTACTTTTTTGAATGACAACATCTAATTTTAATTTGATATTCAAAAACAGAATATTTTTCTGAGTATTTCGATACATAAAAATTGAATTTAGGGCAATTAGTTTATGAGTTATAAGTAATTAAAGTTTAGATGAGCGGAGTAGAGTGGTACGGGGTTACCCCGCGAAATGTTTGTCCTCTACTCCGCTCATCTAAACTTTAAATACTTATAACTCATAAACTACTTGCCCTAAATTCAATTTTTATGTATTAAAATAATCAGAAAAATATTCTGTTTTTGAATATCAAATTAAAATTAGATGTTGTCATTCAAAAAAGTAAAAAACTTAAAAAATTAAAAGGATAAAAAATATTTAAAAATATAATTTTTTAATAAAAATATTGTTTTTTAACAACTTGAAACTATGTAAAAAAATATTTTCTTAAACATTAATACTTTTTGAAATAATGAGTGTTCTTCGATAAAAAAATCACCCTGTATAGTACATAGTATACATGAAAACTATTCTAATAATCTTAGCTTAATCTTTTGGCACAAGCGTTCGATTGAAAATTCGTCGAATTCTATTTTTGTTATTAACAAAAATATTGCAATTCTTTTATTGATATTCCCTTTGTAGCTTATTTAATGCGTTATAGTTTTGTGGATTAATTTTTGTTCATCTTGAGTTTAAACTTTAAACTGGCGACATATTTTTATATTTGACATATTTACAGTATAGTTATAGACAATATTTATTTATTAACTTGAAATATTTGTTTTACTTACAAAACTGTTATTATTATTACTATTTATTTATTTATTTATATATAGACACCATTTTTAACTACCTAAAACTTCCTCGTACTTTAGCAAAGTTAGTATTATTATAAATCTGTGGAGGATGGATTATAAAATAAATTATGAAGAGTGAATACGTATATGTTTGAGAATTTGCCAAAAAGAACTAAAACCTGCTTAAAATCGAATAATGAGTAAATCATTCAGATTATTGAAAATTTATCATTAGGTTGTCAACTTGTCAATAAATGTTGAGGATAGGTTGTCACTAGTCAACCTTGGATTTTGAGTTAATATATTATAATGTTTTACTGTTCTTGTTCTAAAATGTACATCTAATAACAGTAATTACAATAATATTAATAATAAAGTAGGTACTTGATAGTGATTTCTAGAATACAATATAATTTTTATTTTAAGATTAGATGGTAAGGATTTAGGTTGTGATAATATTATTCTTGTGTATAGTACCTATCGGCCTTAAACTATTTTAATATTGTATATTTGTATAGTGTATACGAATTAAAAATAATTAAACCTATAATTACTATTTTGTTATCATACAAATTTATTGATCAACCATTGTATACCAACAAATTCTGTAAACCTAATGGTTATTATAGAGTGATTTTAAAGTCATACACATGACTTATATGCCGTAAATGTCTGCTGTTTTTAAACAAATGTAATATATGTACTTATATAATGAATACGTATTAATTAACGATGGTGCTTATTAAATCTGTCGTACGTCTTTTGTAGATTTCAAAAGGCTTGCATTGAATACGGTGTCCCGGACGTCGATTTGTTCCAGTCTGTTGACTTGTTCGAACAAAAGAACATATACAGAGTGACCATGACGATATTCGCCATCGGCAGGACGGTACGTGGTCACAGACCTAATAAGATATTAAATGGTAGCAGGGAGAATGAGAGAGAGAAAGAGAGGGGTGATAGAGGGAGTGAGTGAGTGAGTGAGAGAGAGAGAGAGAGAGAGAGAGAGAGAGAGAGGTCCGGGGGCTAACGTTGTTAGAAAAACATGTCACACAACTTAGTCCATCTCTACCTATTAATGGTGTGAGATAGAATGAAGTCGAACAACAACGAAGATAGCTAATACACATTACGTGTCATAATATGTACAGGCCATAGGCGTAAATCAGGGTAGTTAGGAGGACCTCCCACAAGCACCACAACACCACAAATATTTCCTGACTTAACCTCGTAAACCATATAATATAGTATGGTAATACGACGTGTTATTTGATATATTATTGTAGCCCCCCCATCCCGATTTTTAACCATATTTACGCCCATTTAACGGGTATAATTGGCTGTCTCTTTCTAATAATGTTGGGAAATATGTCACTTTATGGGGGGGGGGGGGGGTGCATTCCATAAATTGATATTAACATGTCTGTAACGTAAATGCAACGAACATAATATTAACTACATAACATAACACGGTAACCGGAAGCGGAATATTTATACGATCGATGGTTTTAGGCCCACAAACACCCAGAGTGGAGAGGCCCATCCTTGGGACCAAAACCGTCCGAGGAGAACAAGCGTGATTTTACTGAAATGCAATTGCGGGCCGGAGAAGGAGTCATCGGACTGCAAGCCGGACAGAACAAAGGTGCCACACAAGCCGGCCAGAACTTTGGAAACACCAGAAAGATATTGCTAGGAAAATGAGAGCGTAAACTCACAATTACGTCCTATACTATACGTTTTCGTTATATTTTAAAATTGATCTAACATTATTCTTTTGTATGCGTTTTTGTTAATGTCGTTGTGCGCCTCGTGTACAACAATGACAATATTATAAAACATAATTATGCCATTTGTTTCGCTATCGATACTAAGAGGAGAGAAGATGAAAATATTGTGTTTATAATTATTTAATAATAAGAAAAATGAAAAATAATAATTATTATTATAATATGTAGTACAACATACTCAATGCTCTTATAGAATCTGAGCATCACTACAACTTTATTGCAACAATATAAGTACAAAAGTCGTAACAGCCAACGACAGCACACTACATATATTCATTATGTGTTGAGGTAAAAGAATACAATTTTTAATGGAAAATAATATACATATTACATAGTTTAAATATCTAAAAACGGTTTAGATTAAAAAAATAAATATTGTAATGTTGACACGGAAAATAAAATAAGTGTTTTCGTTGTGACAATAATTTATATAATAATGTTATTATACTATATTATATTAATTATTATAATACGTTAAAAGGTTTGGTTTATTTTAGTTATCCACATTCATAGTAGGTATAATTATTATCATAATATGATTTAAATGCCTTTACTGAAAACAAACTTATTAACTACGAGGTTGAGGCTACACACAACACATGCATACATTTAAAATAATTTTACACTTATATTAAGTTTCATAACAATAAAAGTTGGAAATAATAATACCTAAAAATAGTATTATTGTTGCGGAAACGTCATGTGTACAGAATATACGCGTGCATTAATAAAATGTATTTAATAACGTTGTATATTACATTAGAAATATAGTTGTGTCGGATAGTTACCGTGGGTGCAATATTATTGAAATATGAAAAATTCTAATATTATTTTACAATATTACTATAGTAGACAATTCTTAATTGTAATGAATTATGAAATTTATAAAAGCAAAACGTTTTTACGTTACTTTATTCGTTGATTCTACTTGAACTATTTATTTTTTTATTTTGATATCCGTTTTAGTTTTTCACAAAATCTAATCAAAACGGACGTATTTCGAACGGAAAAATGAATTGACTAGCCAAAAAGCACCAAAATGTGTCTCTAAAAATTGGCATATTACATCTATAATAGTATAATATATTATATTATATATTATTTTGAGCATTTTTATGAAATTTAATAATACTTTTGTTGTGAAAATAAAAACAGAACGGCATAAATGTTTACAATACTAAGGTAACACCTGAAACTCATATCTATTGATTGTCACTCAATGTCAAAAACTGTATGTCTACTTGAAGATGTATTATTAGTAAGTTTTTTTTTTTATTTCGTTAGGTAAGTACCTTATGTGTATTTTCATCATTATTTCGATAACACTTAAAAACGTTCTAAGTTAACTCATATCAATTTGGACGACGATATGGTTTGTAGTACACACGTTGTACATAAATATTATCATGTTATGTCATCATGCCCTTGTATATCTAAATAAAAACCAACTCTGCTTGTATAACTAAGTAAATAAATATTTGATAAAATCCCATATCTAAAGCGGTAATGCGCCCAAATTATGTACATCGCAGATTATTATTGCTGTACTGTTAATCTGCAGATAGTGGGTGGTAATAATAATAATAATAATAAAATACATTTTGGAGCAATTCATATTTTAGTTTCGAGCAGCAACCAAACATCAATTACGAGTATTATTCAGAGCCGTTTTTCTTCTGGTCATCGGCGGCGATCTTTTTGTTTCGATTTGCTTCCAGTATCAGGTCGGCGATCGGCGTCGTGGATGGCTCTAGCTGTTTGGCCGTCATGGGTGTCGTGTGATTTCTGGCCACAGTGGTCGTGGTCGCCGCTGAAGGGGGTGTGGCCGTGGTCACAGTAGCTTTTACCGCCGTTGTCGCTGCAGTGGTCAGTGTCGTCTTGGCCGTCGTTGCCGGTGACAAGGAAGTCGCGGGCGATATCGACGACTTGGATGAAGTTTCTTGCACTGGTTTGACTGTTGAGGGTGTCAAAACAGTTTTGGAGGTGGTGGTGGTGGTGGTGGTGGAGGCGGCGGTTGTGGTGGCTGTGGCTGTGGTGGAGGTGGTGATGGGAGCGGCCGTGGTCGTGGATGATCGAGAAGTAACTGTCGTAGCCGAGCTGCTTGGTGTTGATGTTTTAGATGCCTGCAAAGTAGTCGAGGTCAGAGCCATTGGCGTGATGGTTGAAGGCTTCGTAGAAGTTAGTGTGGTCACCGCGGTATAAGTAGTAGTTCGTGCTGTTGTCACGTCTGAGCCTCGCGAAGTTGTGACTTTTGTCGCCATCGTCGTCGTCGTCGTCGTCGGTTTTGTTGTCGAGCCGCCAACTACCGACGGCCTACCGTTTCTCATCGTATTCATTTGGCCCATATTGGTCATTGTATTCATTTGAGCCATTTTGGTCATCGTCGAGTGGTCGGTATTGACGGTATCTTTCAACGGCGAGGAGTCGCGAATGGCCGAGTCGGGGCTGTTGTCGCTCGCTCTGTGCTTGGAATTGGAATCCTTGTCCTTATCAGTTTTCTTGTTGGGTTTTTTCATGTTGCGCACCACATTTCCGGTCGACTTCACCGGCGCTCGTTTGATCTTCGTAGGAATTGTCGCGATCCTTGGTTTCGACAGCACTTCCTCTGCCTTTGTCGACCTAGTCGCAGCTGGTGTTCCATCCGTCGTCACGTCATCGGTAAATGTGGAAGTAGTGGCCGCAATAGTCGAGGGTCTCCGATTAGGGGTGCTCAACGTAGTCGGCACAATTGTCGTTTTCTCCGTCGTAGGTGGTTCGCAGTGATTGTTACACTTGCACGGGTTGTTGTTATCGACGGGAAAGCCTAAACGTAAAATCAATTGAAAAATTTAAAATGAATATATTATAATATTATAATAGGTGTTATAATGTGTCACCGTTGGTCATATTATATGTATTGACGGGTATAATTACCGTTAGAATCATTGGTTATCCAGTCTGCAATTTGCATGTCGGTCAACCCTTCGGCCAATGGGTTCTGTTCTTCGTCTACGTGGAATAATTTATACGAGCTCTGGTCCGGCCTGGACACGACGTACACTTTTGCCACAGCCGGTCGTAGACCAGTCACTTTTTGAATGCTCTTGGCCGTATACGATACGCAAACGATACAGCTACTTTTTACCTACGGTTGAATAATAATTTGAATTTAGTTTCAATTTATACGCACACTCTCCGTTGGTGATTAAGTATGTTAAGCAAGTATTGTACCTACCTTAGCGAAAACAAACCAAATATGATTTGAATGTGAGTCGTGATGGACATCCGATACGCTAGCAGACGAAATCTTATCGAAGTAATAACCCGAGAAGAGTTTCACTTCTAGCCTTATAGCATCTTCCGTCTCGTTGTTCATCCTACACAATAGCGAGACAAATAAAACAATTAAAAGTCATCGGTTTTGAATAACTTTATAATATACCTAAAGCATGTTTTTAGTCTTAATGTTATCGCATGGCCGTATATTTCATCTGTAAAACCTTTACTCGGTTGAATGACGTCAGTGACCCCTGACCATAGATCAAAAGGCTTTTTATCATTTTCTGCAGTAGTATAGGTAGAATACAAAACTCTTCCCTAAAAAATAAATAAATGCTTTTAAAACCGATATCTTTTGTCTTAAATTAAAGGTCTAAATAAATATAAATCTTGTTGTTGTATGATTTAACTACAAACATTTAAATATCGATATAATTTTATCCCCAAATATAATTTTTACTCATAGGTAAAGGGCATAAAAAATCTATCATAGTAAGTCTAGTTAATTTACCTAAATATGTAATATGTTTTATAATTATACTAGATTATTTATTTATTTATTGTAAATGAATACTAAGATGATATTAGTCTTATTAAACTCTTAAAATAAAAAAAAATAATTAAAACTAATAACAGATTCTTAAAAGAAATACGTATTAAGGCTTAACTTAAAGTAGCATGCTATTAGATATGTTTCCTCTGAAAGAAAAATTGAGGAATCATAGATATGATTTTGGGTATAGGTAGTGCAGTGGAAAAATATCTAGAAGCCTACTAAATTTTGTTATGAATTTAATTTAATTTAATTTATATTATTATTATTATTATTGATTTGAGTTTCTATAGCAACAAACAAAGCGTTAAGAAAATCAGCTTCTCAAAAATCGGTTAAAAAAAAGTTGTACCCAACCCAAAAGGCAAAAACATAATATCTATGTTTAAAAAAATGTATCTGTAAAGTGTAAACTGTATTATATTGACCATGACTTATAATAGCTGTTTAAAAATGTTTATATTTTCTTTAGAAAAAATATTAAATCTACTGGTTGGATACTAGAAAAATGAAGTAGTATTTATAATTATTTTGAGAAAAGTGAATATAAAATTTTTGGGGTTATTGATATGTAATTTTAATGTCATTATAACTTAAACTAAAATATTAATATATTTTATGTTATGTAAGAAACTAAAAAGTACGAACTTGTATTGTTGAGCATCCAGCACCGGTAGCGTAGACGAATACTTTTGTCGGCAAAGAAGGTAAATGTAAGTATTGTGATTTTGTACTGGGGTCAAGTTCTAACGTATCGGTCAATTCCATACCGGAAGTAGCCAGGGAAATTGTTAATTTCCGGTGAGGGTCCGATCCAATTTTATCATACATAGCAAATGCTTTCACAGCTAGATACGCTAACTATAATGGAAAAAGGATAGTTAACCACGTGATATATTTTTAAATTTCACACTGTGATGTATACCTCTGGGTATGTATCCAAGATTTTAGTCCTATAGTATAGATAACGGACTATAGGTTCGGATGATTTCAGTTCTCGTTTTGCCGAGTAGATCATTAAACAATACAATGAAGCTTTGAATTCGTCAATCGAAACTATAACATGGTATAGGGTTTTAATAAGGTGCTTGTAGTTAAAAACA